TATTTGTTCTTTGGATGAGTCTCTTTAGAGAAAATATATATATGAAAAAAACCCAAAACATTTAAATTATGCTTTGAAGTATAGGGTAGCTCGAATTCCTGTTCTTCATTAAGCACATACTTTGATCCAAGTTAAAGTTAAAATTAAATGAGTATCATACAAACAAAGGAGAGCTAACATTGTAGCTGAAGAAAGATAGAATAATAAGTAAGGAATAATATTTCCTATTTTATTATGTTCATAATAGGAGATACAGATATCTGTACTGTACAGTTGCAAGTCAGACTCAGTAGTAGCTTTATAAAAATTATGTGCAAATAGTCTTTTATTTTATAATAATGCATTCCTACATAATGTACAAAATAACGGGTCTAGTGCTCTTCTAAACAAATAATAAGGAAAGAAAAAAGATCTATCTCTGATCAAGGAATTTTCATCTCCTCATTGTAAATGTTATTATTTTTTTACAGGACACATCACATGTTTTAAGCAAAAGAGCCTATGATGAACAGGTAAACCATTCCTGTCCCTTTTTCTGACCAACTGCTGGTAGTAGTAAGTTTATGTTTCCTTGTGTACTACCTACAAAAAAAGAAGGATCTAGTGTCCACAAAGAACAACTAATTCTCTTTAGGGTTAGTTATTTCTTTCCAAATACAACAATGTATTTTATTTTATTACCTCTACAGATGTGTGTCTTTTTTTTTTTCTTCACAGAATGCATCTTCTTCAAATAGCAGCCACTCTGACATGCAGGTAATAATGTAGTGTCAACTGCATGATATCAAGGGAATTCCTGATAAATTATATTTCATTTTCAAAGTTTGGTTCCAGTATTTTTTTGTGCTGAAGGATGCTATTTTGATTTGACAGCATTTTCCTTATGAGGTTATAATTTCACACAGTTGTAAATAGTGATATTAGGCTCAGAAAATACTGTTTTTTCTGTTCCTTCAACCCACTAAGAAGGTAAGAATTGCAGGTGTTTCTTTACATAACATTTTGTAAAATTAATTTGAAAAACACAAACTTTATAATTTCAGATTCTTGTTTTAGAAACATTCTTGCAGTCTTCATTGTAATGGCCATATATATAATTCTTTCATTTTGTATTTGGTAAGAAGGTACATTTTAGGGATTACTTCTGTTACAAAAGTAGGTCCAACTTTCATATTCTGTAGGATATACAGAATATATGCTTCAGCAGTGTTTATATTAGAGAATTATGTGAAATTTAACTGATCCAGAGTAGCACCTTGTTCTGGTTTTCTTAGTATCTTGGTTTGGTACCCATCCCAGGGGTCTGAAATCCTGCTGCACCCAGCATTAAGTAGATTTTACAGTAGCATACTCCTCTGTCTCAGAGAGTTTGGAGTTTAATTCAGTATTGCAGACAGATCTCAGAAATCTGGAAGGTAAAGGTTTCCTTAATTAGTTTCTCTAATGCCCATTCCCTGAGAATTGTATCAAGTCACTTAATTAGGTTTCATGCTAATTTATGTTTTCACAAAAATTCAACAGGTGCAGGGAAGTAATAGAGTTTGTAATAGCATTTCTCATTACATAGTTTAATACTTTAGATGCTTTAATAAAATATAATTGTTTTCTTCACAGGGTGGATCATTTATTGCGACCAGCGGATCAAGTAATCAGGTCAGGATTTTCTTTATTTTTAACTGGTCTTGTTCAGATAGTTTCCTATTAAATGAATTAAAATCAGAAATCAGAGTTTAAGTAGTCTTACGTGGAAGATTTGTGGAGTTGTCCATTAATTTGTAAATGAAGTGGCCCTATTCATATCAAATTTATCAGAAATGGCTCTCTGAAATCACTTTTTAGCACTGTTTCAACATAACATGTGTTTTACTGGTGATAGCACAATGGGATACTCCTGACTACCTTATACTTCTCTCCTGCTGAGACATCTGTCATTGGGACATCCCACTGGGAGAGGCACTACCAGTCTGACTTCCAAAGCAAACATTAACAGCACACATCTGTCCCCTCATTTGTTCTAGGTACAGCAAAGGTCATACCTTCTCTGTAGTCCCACAGACTTTCTTCCCTTAAATAGTTTTGCATCTGAAATAAGATTTTATTTTTAATTTCTACAATTTCCACAAAGCAATAATTCTTCCCTTTTTTTTTTAATATTTGTAGGGTGGTTGCATTTGTCCTGATGGAAGCAGTGGTCACACACAGGTAATTGTATTTCTGAGTTTATACTTCCTTCTTCTGTGACAAAAAAACCCCAAATTTGTTAAACATTTCAAAATATAATCTCTTAAATCAACATTTAAACTGTTCTTTCCCTGTAAAGAGAATAACGGAAATTTCAATGTCAGTTGCACTGAATAAACTTTTCTCTTAGGTAATGCCTCTGGGCCAGGAAAAAGGCCAAGAAAGGTGCTTATGTGGGCATTATAGACTAGCTCTACCAGGCTTCTGGTTTTTAAAGTCACCTTGGATTGTAAAGTAACCTGTCTTCTATCAGGATACATATTTCTGAATCTTTTATTGAAGGTGTATTTACATAAACCCATTTGAAAGGTGTAGTATTTTTTTAGTTTTCAATTTCAACAAGAAGAATTTTATGAATTAATCTTTCTGTACAACTTAAACAAATTGTATAAAAAAGTTACTGCTTTCTGAACTTAACTTCATTAACTTAAAATATAGCAACAGAAATTTTGCTCAGATACAATACCACCTCTTTCATATAATTGAGGCTAAGCAGTAACCATGGTTTACATGCTTTAAAATATAAATTAGTCCACTAAAATAAATAATACTGAAACTTCATTGAGGAAAAAAATCCTTTTATTTGTTGTGTGATTGTACAAAAATCCATTTATAAGGAAAAAGGTGGAGATCTTTATGCAAGTTTTTTCATTCTAATAAACATTTTACTTTGCATGCTTTAATTGTTGCAAAATAGGTTTTTAACAGAAATCTAGCACAGCTTGCTTGAGGAGTGTGTATTTAGTTCCTATCAACAAGAAATTTTCAACATGAAGAAAATAAAATGTCAAACTAGGACAGATGAGAAAACTGTCTCTCAATGCAGTTGTGTCAACTTGGATACACAAGAGACTTATTTTCCAATTTGTAATCGATCAGCTGATCAAATTAATTTATGATAAATTATGTAGCAGTAGATTTGATCTTTGCTTTCATGGTCTTAACTTCATTTTCTGTCCAGGGCCCTCTACATGTGGCAGCTACAGTTCTTACAGTAGTGTGTGAACAGATTGGCCATGACAGGTTATATGCTAATAATAGTAAAAAAGCAAGCTCTAGGTAGTTGTATACATACAAATAAACTACCATTCATAAATCATAAATAAAAGACAGAGTGATCTGCTTCCTAGGGCAGTGGTTACAGCAGCAAGCCTGACAGAGGTCAAGAAGCATTTGGACAATGCTCTCAGGCACATGGTGTGACTCTTGGGTTGGTCCTCTGCAGGACCAGAAGTTTAACCTGATAATCCTCTTGGGTCCCTTCCAACTCAGTTTTTTTCTGATTCCTTGAAGATTCTTCAGTAAAATAGAAAAATTCTTGCAAAAAGCATTCTTCTAAATTTAAAAGCTGTGAGTTACACTAAAGTCTCTTCAAATCTGGACAGTATTATAAATTAAGAGTCAGAGCTATACATACTTAAACCAGCTTGTTTCAAAGGAAAAATGGGTTTGTGCATGTGGATCCCCAAATTCATCACACTGCAATTATTTTGCTTTTTCTCCAAGCTTCATTTAAAGACAAGATCTTAGCCTACAAATAGTCTCAGAGGAAGCATTCTAACCATAGAATAATGCTTCCCCTCTTTTTATATAAAGAGGAAATGACAGTTATAGTGAATGTAGGAGCTAGTAAATAGTCTTCTCCTTTAAGTCGTGAGCTGAGAAACATCCTCTCCTAAATAATCTTTACTCTTTGGAAGTCCAGTATTCTGGCAGTTTTTAAAATGGCCATCAAGGTCATGATCATATATAAAAACATAGAGTCTGCAAGTTACAACATAGAATTCTGCCATTAGAAAAAGTAAAACTAAATGTTAATACTACTTTCAAATCTTTTACCCTGAACAGGAAATAACAGAACCTGCTACAGGTTTCCTTATCTCTAAAAAAAGTATGAACCAGTATTCTCTTTTAGTCGTTACTGTAAAGTTTTATTTGAAAGAATAGACATTCACAGTAGACTCATTGATGTAAATGTCTGTTTGCAAGCAAATAGCTAGTCTGTGTTTTCATTTCAGGGAGCCCCAGGTTCTTCATACAACACATATTCTGGTAACCAGGTAAACATTCAGATAAAATGCCCTATTCAGAAACTCCATCTAAAACCTTCCCTGAAGGAGTAGCCAGATATAAACCAGTAACCCATTCTGTCTTCTGCACAGGGAGGGCCTTACTTCTATCCTGGAGGAGCCTATGGACAGGTAGTAGTTCTTCCTCCCTCACCAGGATAATAAAGACTCCATCCTCCTGGTCCCTTCATGCCCAGTATTGTGGGTGCTATGATATATTAAATTATAGACCTGACTGTTATCCCTAAGAGCAGAAAAATTAAATCCACCCTGTGTAGCCTGATGGTGAGAAGCTTGACAGAGAACAGTACAGAATGGTCTCTGCAGTTTCTTTGCAGAATTCAAGTTTCAGCAGGCCAAGAAAATTGCTGCCAGAAGATTTCTTCCAATTTAAAAAGAATGGCTTTGAGTTTTACTTAGGCATATAAAATTCCTTCAAAACTGGGAGAAAGGGTATAGTGTGAACCACATGTGCAGGTATTTAAACTCTCATCTTCAAGAAAATAGCTGCTCTGTGTTTTTCTTTCAGGGTGACCCAGGTTCTTCCCACAGTTCTTACTCTGGCAACCAGGTAAATATTCTGGTCACTGCGCCTGCTCAGGAGCAGCCTAGAAGTATTCTTGGAGAGAACATTCAACTACAAACCAGTAAATTTCTATGTTTTCTCTGCAGGGAGGGCCTTCCTACTATTCTGGTGGATCTTATGGACAAGTAGGTGCTCTTTCTTCTTTGTAGAGATAACAGACTTCTACCTTCATTCCTGTATTTCCCATGTAGTGGCTGCTGCGAAATATAACACCCAAGAGCTGAGTCTATCACAACACCTAATAATTGTATTACCTGTCTGTACCTTACAATATGAAATCTGACAGAGAAAGACTAAATTGTGCTTCGAGCTTCCATGGAATGATCTTTCATCTAACTAAAAAATTAGTGATAAGAAGCCCCTTCTTGTTTAAGAGTATTGGCCTGGATTGAGTTTTGGATACATTGGTATTTACACCATCCTGTTTGCAAGTAAATTGCCAGTCTGTGTTTTCATTTCAGAGAGCCCCAGGTTCTTCATACAACACATATTCTGGTAACCAGGTAAACATTCAGATAAAATGCCCTATTCAGAAACTCCATCTAAAACCTTCCCTGAAGGAGTAGCCAGATATAAACCAGTAACCCATTCTGTCTTCTGCACAGGGAGGGCCTTACTTCTATCCTGGAGGAGCCTATGGACAGGTAGTAGTTCTTCCTCCCTCACCAGGATAATAAAGACTCCATCCTCCTGGTCCCTTCATGCCCAGTATTGTGGGTGCTATGATATATTAAATTACAGACCTGACCTGTTATCCCTAAGAGCAGAAAAATTAAATCCACCCTGTGTAGCCTGATGGTGAGAAGCTTGACAGAGAACAGTAAAAAACGGTTTCGTTGCAGTTTCGTTGCAGAATTCAAGTCTCAGCAAATTGCTACCAGAAAATTTCTTCCAATTTAAAAAGAATGGCTTTGAGTTTTACTTAGGCATATAAAAATTACTTCAAAACTGGGAGAAAGGGTATAGTGTGAACCACATGTGCAGGTATTTAAACTCTCATCTTCAAGAAAATAGCTGCTCTGTGTTTTTCTTTCAGGGTGACCCAGGTTCTTCCCACAGTTCTTACTCTGGCAACCAGGTAAATATTCTGGTCACTGTGCCTGTTCAGGAGCAGCCTAGAAGTATTCTTGGAGAGAACATTCAACTACAAACCAGTAAATTTCTATGTTTTCTCTGCAGGGAGGGCCTTCCTACTATTCTGGTGGATCTTATGGACAGGTAGGTGCCCCTCTTTGTAGAGATAACAGACTTCTTTTATTTTCCTCCTCTTCTGTCCTTGAAAGATGGAAAACACTTTATTTGGAGAAGCAAATTAATCAGCTTTTTAAAATTTTCTTTGCAGGGAGGGTCTTCTGCTTATGATGGCAGCAGTGAATCCTATGGTCAGGTAAATACTCTTCTTTGTGTAAATGTTGCTGAGGACCAATACCCTGGCTGAAGTAAATATGCAGCTATATCTGTATTTCTGCTGTCACTATATTCTAATGAAAGTGATCTTTTATTTGAGGAATGAGTAAATTTGTATGTACTTTAAGCTGAGTAGCTGCTTACAGGGCAGTAAAAGGTGGGGTGCCTCCAACCTTTAAGGGTTATTTTTCTCAACAATATATTGAGCTCAACAATATCTTCTCAACAATGTCAAGATCTCGAGTTACCTGCAAGATAAGGTCTCTTCATAAGATGCAGGTCTCTTCAAAAGTGGAATTAGAAATTGAGTTTAAAAATATGTAACATTAGTATTTTACAGTGACGTAAGTCTGAGTTGCTGAACAGTTCTGATGACTAAGTAAATAATAATATTTTTTAAATCTGCCACAAGAAGAAGATCCCTACAGTAAGCAAAAAAAAAAAAAAAAAAAAAAAAAGCCTGTTTGCAATATGAAAATTATTTATGTTTTCTTAACAGGGTGGATCTTCTGCATATAGTGGTTCTGAGGCTTATGGCCAGGTAAAGTTTATCTCCTACATCAAAAGCTTAAGCTTGCTGTGTTGATTCTTACATGTACTGGGTTCTATGCTTCAGTTATTTTTAAGTGGCCATGACCACAGAAATGCCATTTTAACTTTTGTTTGTCTTTACCTTTGTAACAACTCAAAATGTTTCCATAATGTAGAGAATATGAGGCACTATGTATGCTGTTTTTAACTGTGACTAGCCCTGTGACTATTCAGTGCTTTAACAATTTTATTGTTCATACGTTAGCTCGTTCAAAAGGTAAATACTTCATGCATTTACTTTACATACTTATGCAGAAGTTGTTGAAAGTTTAACTAATGGGATTTTTTAATATAAAGAATGATAACTTTGCAAATTAATTTCATTGAAAACTTTCTCCCTATAAAAATTCATGTTTGCAAGGAGGGCTTTTTCCCAGCCTCTTCTGCTTAAGCAACAGGTAAAGTTAAATATTTTTTCTTTTCTTGCACGTTCCCTAGTTTAGGTAAAGTTTGAGATTCTAAGTGCTAAGTTAGTTTTATTCTTCTATTTTATATTCCCCACAATTAAGAACATGCAAGAGACATTTTCACATGAAAATTAATGTTTTTACATTATTTTACAGGACTCACCTTCTATGGGAGCCAGTGAAACTGAAGATAATGTAAGCATTTCTTCTCAAAAATATCAATATCTTCATTCACTCCCTTTTAAAGTATCTAGGTGCTTACATGGACCTTTACCTTATCTGATGTCACATGATTGTGCTATACATGACAAGGACTTCACAAACTAAAATTGCAGTTACAACAGTTCCAGCTTCTAACAATCAAACATTTTTTGAATTTGTTGTTAGAAGTAGCAATTACAAAGAAAGGTCTTTTTATTTCACAATTTCCATCAAAACTCAGTATTTGTATATGACTACTTCCCTCTTTCCATCCGCAGTTCGCACTACATTTTGTTTGTTTTTCCAAATGCCAGACACATGATTCAAGTTCCTTCAACTACATATTGCATAGGAATGGTCTGTTTTCATATAGTGTGGTGAAAACTGCCTGCTTTTCTTAAAATAATGCCTTTTCTCCTGACTAAAGTATATGTTCTATTAACTCTGCTGAAGCTATTTATAAAACTTTACAATTTTTAAGTCTTTTCCATGGTCTTGGTTAGTAGGAAATTGCCCTCTGCAAATAATTACAAATTCAGCTGTGCTGAATACTTTAGTACTTAGTCACAATATATGTGTGACTTTAATACTTTAGACTTTAGTCACAAGTATACTGTGTCAATAGCTTCAATGCAGTTTCTGAACCAAATCTTCTTATGGATATTCAAGAAAGCTAAAATATGATACTACAGAAGGTCTAAGAAACCCTCTGAAAGAAACTAAGGTGTAACAACAGATATGTACCACATCTTGGCCTTTGAAAAATCGACAGCTTTGCAAATGATGATGTTTTTCCCTGAAACAGTCTGGAAATAAAATATATTGAGAAATTATCTCATTCCTTATCAGGATTCAGCTTTCAAAAGAAAGAAATGCCATTCTCTAGAAATGAGTAGAGAAAGAATTTGTAGACTGCTTATCCTACATCTTCAACCTTCCCACAAGCAGTACCTCCCTTTGCTTCCCACCCTTGCTTAGAAAGAAGTAGTAATATTTGCCATGGCTAAATTAACTAGACTCTAATCTAAACTAACTAGATTCTAATCTTTTTTAGGATCCCTCCTCACCGTCTGGTAGCCGCCAGAGTGAACGGGTAAGCAACCCCTCCTTTTTTTAGTGCCAGGTGCCAGCCCAGTGCTTGGCAACTGCAGCACCTAAATTACATCTCCTGTGGAAACCCTGAGGCAGCTCCAGTGTGGAACAGAAAGCCCTCAAGCACAGCAGGAATGAGGATATGGTTAAAGAGTTTAAGTGCTGCTAGAAATCCCAGTGATGCTGAGGTGTGCTCTTGAATCTCAAACTCACATCACAAATGTGATAGCACAATTTGCATATTCAGGTCCTTACACTTTTTAAATAATTGATTTTTCTGCAAAGAGTTTCAATACCATGATTTTTCCAGCACTTATTCTAAATGCAACCCTTTGCTTGTTGTGCTGTATGACTTACTTATGAAGGCTTCCATTTTCCTATCATTTTAAATGGCACATATTGTATTTATTCTAATGACACAGAATGAGAAATTATTTTGTTGGAGATTTAACTCTTTCAACTTTTGTATCCTAGAGAATATCTTCCACCAAAAGAGCAGTTATCAGTAGACATGAAGGGCATGTGCTGTTTTATATAGAAAGACAGTAGTGGTTTTTTGTTTTTCTTGAACAATCCGTGACAGAAAATTAAGGCATGTGGAGAAGCAAGGAGGAGTGTTTTTCTTCCACTCTGATTTTTCCAGTTTTTGGGGTTTGGTTTTTCCATGTAATTTCATCTTAAATACATTTTTCCAGGATTTTTATTCCCCAGGAGGCAGCCAGTCAGGTGGACATGTAAGCATCTATTTTATTTATTATTTGCAGTTCTCTTTCAAAATGGCTGTAGTATTTAAAAATTATCCCAATGAATAAATGACACCAAAGCATTAATTTCCTGGAATTTATCATGACATCTGGCATCATGTCTTGTGAAATCAAATTGCAAACTGTTTGAATAAAAAAAATTAAAATTTTGTGTGTACAACAGTCTTGTTCTCCAGAAGCCATTTCAAACAAAAATAAATTGGGCCTTCTTTTTGCAGGGGTCATCTTCTCAAAGTGGTAGCTACTCCAGTGGACAGGTAAATAATAAATCTTTGTATTTTTGACCTGAAGAATCAATCTTATCAGTCATACAAAAGTTTGAGGCTCCATATTGTATTGCAGCAATTTTTAAGCTGTGAATTAAAAAGATTGGTTTATTCTTCCTTACATAGCTCTATGTAAAATTTCAAATGCAAGCAGAGTAATCAAAATACAATTCATGTATTTACTGATATTTTAACACCAGGAAACATGAAAGTAATAAATATTTGGCATGAATTTATATCTTATTTTAAATATAAAGTAAGTAATTTTTTTTTCAGGACTCATCCTCATCTGGAAGCAGCCAGTATGGTGGGCAGGTGGGAAATTTTTCTTCTTCGTTGTTATTGTGAGGGGTTTACCCCCCAGTGTACATATTTCAAGAAAATCTTACCAGACTGGTAATACCTAAATTTCCAGACTACTCTGTGGTTTATTTTATTCTCATTAATCTTTCTATAGCTAAAATTGCATTCTCAACCAAATGGCTCTTTCCAAACAGAGTCAAAAAAGTAAAAGACAATATTTTGTATTTAAATGCATGTGTCACAGAAAAATCTTTAAACAGGAATGTAACATTTACAGGGTTCACCTTCCTCAGGAGGCAGCCAGTCTGGTGGACAGGTATGACTTTCTTTGTCCACAGTCTTCCGCTGGGCTACTGTCAGGCACCCTGATTTATTTCTCTCATCTTTCCTTTACAAGAACTGTTTTCCTTCACCACTCTCCTTTTTGCCCAAAGCCTCAACAACACATTGTTTTCTTTTGCCATTTGTCATTTGGGCATCCTGCAAGCCAGAGTAACCAGCAGTAATTGTTTGGCATGTGTATGTCAGCTTCTGTACCTGCTTTGGTACTAAACAAAATTAATGCATATTGAAAGTGTAAAGTGAGACACTGAATGGTGAACTCATGGCCACTTGTCAGTTAGTTTTATCAGAGTAGAAATCACCTGTTTTCTGTATCATCTGTAACACGAAACAGTTCTGCATGTACTCCAGGTGCTCTGGCCTGTTTAGAAAAAAAATTGCCTTCTGTGGTACTACTCAGAATGTTGTATTCATCCTTTTGCTGAGTATTATTTTTAAGGTAAAAATTGTAGGTAATAAAATTTGAAGATTACAAAATGAGCATTTTGTAGCCCCACTGGAGCAATAAGTGCAGGAACAGTTGCATGGGATGAAACAGATTCAGTTCTTGAAGCTGGGCAATTAAAATGTGGCTTTATGGTTTGCATGCCTGGGATGGTAGAAGTAATTTGAATTGTAACTAGAACCCATTTCAGTCCTGTGCTCTTGACATCCTAAATATTTTCTGCATTCTTTACAGGGTGGATGTGATTGTTCTGGGGCAAATTCTGTAAGTGCTACTTGTTCATTATACATTTTCCTTTACTAAACTATTTAACTGGAAAATTATGTGAGATGCTATTTATTTCTAACTTACTTATTTGAATGTACTCTTAATTTTACATTCATTGTTCTTTTGGTGACTTAGATGGTTCTGATATGGTGGGAGTTATTTCTTATCATGCCAAGATTCAGTGTTACAGAATCATTGAATAATTTAGGTTGGAGAATGCCTCGGGTCCAACCATTAACACAGCACTGCCAAGGTCACCACTTAGCCATGTCTCTAAGTGACACATGTACATGTTTTTTCAGTACCTCTGGGGCTGGTGACTCAGCCCCTTCCTCAGCAACCCCTCCAGTACTTGATAATCCTTTCAGTGAAGAAATTGTTTCCTAAAATCTAATGTGGGCCTTCCCTGGAGCAGCTTGAGGCCATTTCCTCTTGCCCTATTGCTTGTAACTTGAATGAAAGGACCAACCCCCACCTGGCTACAACCTCCTTTCAGGGAGTCGTAGAGAGCAATAAGGTCCCATCTGAGTCTCCTTTTGTCCAGGCTAAACAAACCCAGCACCTTCAGCTGCTCCTCACACATCTTGTGCTCCAGACCCTTCCCCAGCCCCTTTGCCATTTTTGGACACAATCCCACACCTTAAGGCCCTTCTTTTACTGAGGGGCCCAAAAGTGAACAAGGATTCAAGCTTCATCAGTGCCCAGTCAGTGCAGGGGGACAATCACTTCCCTAGTGCTGCTTGCTGGCCACATTATTTCTGATAAAAGCAGAAAGCTCTAAAGCTGGCAGTGAGCTGCATTTCTGAGCAGTGATGTCAGCTGCTGTACAATATTTACAGAGATGTGTATTTCTTCTCAAAAAGCCAAAAAAATATTGCATTAAATAGCAGAGTTAATTGACAAAAGATCTATCATGAAAGAAAGCTAAAATAATATCCAGTCTATAAAACTGCCAATCATAAAAATTTGTATCAAAAAGCAATGTTTACAAAATAGAAAACATAAACAAAACAAAAAAGGGTGTGACTTCTCACTTGTGCTTTTAATTCCATATTAAATTTCTTAAGGACTATGAAATAGGGTAATCCCTGTTTTCCAAAGCAAATCATATGTGGCCTATCAACATGTAGCTTGTAAAGGGCATTCCTGCACCTTGGAAATACTCTTCTTTCCTAGGCAATGAATTATAGGTAGATACAATATGTTACTTCATTATTTATGGTCTTGTGGGACAAAAAAGGGATATTTTCTCTATTGGCAAATTGATAAAAGTAAGTGAAGTATAAGTGTAACTTATTTCAGGCTGAGATATTCTTCCATTGAAATGCTATGGAACAGACATTCTAAGGTTTTGTTTCACTTATAGTTTATGACCAAAGACAAACGGTAATTTTTCTTTTCTTTTTTTCCTTTATAGGGTGGATCCCCTACTTTAGTCAGAAGCGATTCCTCTGCAAATGTAAGAAATGTTCATCAGCTTTTAAATGTGTCCTCTGTTTGCTTTATCAGTGTAATGGCTAGAGAGGATAAAAAGAGTCAGTGTCTAATAGAAGTCATACACTTGTGAAAATAACCTACTTTAGTTACAATTAAAAATACACACAGGACATTCGTTTTAATTGTAACTAAAAAATGCACACAGGACATTAGTGCAGTGATCTCAGTTTCTCTTTCCATTTGAAACAGTTTTCATTCAAAGAGAAGCCTTACAATGAAAATTTTTGTACAAACACAGGTAGATAACAGCATAAGTCTTTACATTGGGAGTCAATTCCATTGGCTTCCTTTGAATTATGTAAAAATATCACCCAAGGATATGCATTTATGTTATTTTATTCCTCTTAGATTATTACTGCAGGAAAGTTTAGTACTAGTCTTTATGTGCTACTATCTTTCAAGAAGTTTTGCTACAAAAGACTTATTTAAGAGCAAAATAATTGGTGGTTTTGGTGTTTGCATTTTTCCCCAGGACACATCTTCTTCTGGAGGCAGCCAGTACAACAGCCAGGTAAGCATTCATTCCAAAAAGAGAGGCAGTTTGCCACTTCTGAAAATGATTGTTAATTCATTCAATAAATTAAATTTTTATATAGGAACTGGGTAAAAAGAGCAAAAGCCCAGCAAGTGAAATTCATCTTTTATTCCTATTTGACCTTATTCGATTACGAAGAAAAAAAAAATCCAATCTCCCCTCTTTAAAGAGACCTTTTGTTGTATGAGGTTTCAGCAAATTTTCTTAGTTTGGTTTTCAGAGTCCTGTTAGGTAGCCAATATTTTACTGCTAGCTCTGGCCCAGCATTCAGCTTTCCAAATTAAAAAAAGTCATTCTCCAGAAATGAGCAGAGAAAGAACAGGAAAGAATGTCACTTTAACCTTCCCAACATGTCACACAAGCAAAGCACTGTGTCTTTGCCTGCCACTCTTGCTAAGTATCTCAGGTATTTTCCCAAATTAGCTTGCTCAACTTAAATCCTAGTTATTAAAGCATTCTGAAAGTCCTGCTCACCTGTCTTCACTCTTACCTTGGTCTCTTGCTCCTGTTGTCCTGGAAGAGTCATGCTTTTATTTAAGGAAATCCTAATGCAGGTAATTCACTCATCTGGTATTCTTTACAGGATTCATATTCCTCTGGAGCTAGCCAGTATGGAGGACATGTAAGTTCTTTCTTTTAATATTTTATATTACATTTTTAATAAATATTTAACTCCTGTTAAGGATCTCAATTTAATATATCACAAAAATTGACAGTGGTCTTTACTCTGTAGTAATATTGTGAATTCAAGGAAGACAAAAAACAGAGTTTATTTTGGGATAATTACACACAAACACTCAAATAGCAAAATACAGGTGTCTTTGCCACTTCTTTCCATAGAAAAATCCAATTAGATATTCATAAATAACTAATTCTCAATTGTTTTCCAGGAGTCATCTTCTTATGGAGGCAGCCAGTATGGTGGACAAGTAAGCATTAATAGTCCCCATTTTTGTAGTTTATTTACTGTCCACCTGATTGACTCTATCTTAGCTTTAATTTAATCTAAAATCTTTTCAGTAAATCTTTCTCTGTAGTGTTCTGATGCTACTGTAATTAAACAAGTTCAGATGAAGAACATTATCTAAGACTAAAAAAAAATAGAACGTGAAATACTTGGTTGACTCAATTGACTCTTGAAATTTGCAGGACTAGATATCATGTCTCTCTGAAATAAATTAGTACTTTATGAAGCTAACCAGAATTTTTAAAGCCTCATGAAATGATTCTATGAGCTTATGAAACAGGTGTAACAAGGTTTCAGTTTCCATTTTTTGTTTATTTTTAGGGTTCACCTTCCTCAGGAGGCAGCCAATATGGTGGACAGGTGAATATTCTTCCCTTGTTGCATTTACTACTTTATCAAAGAGATTTGGTAGTTCTCTGGGTAAAAGAATAAGGAGATTGGGGTTTGGTTTGGGGGGGTTCTGCCCATTTTTTATCTAATTTGTTGCTAGGTATACAATGGTTATAAATCAGGATGCCAAGCCACAGAAGAGCTTTTAAGATGGAGCTTCTGAGGCATCATGGTTTTAAAGAGATTGGGGTTTGGTTTGGGGGGTTCTGTCCATTTTTTATCTAATTTGTTGCTAAGTATATAATGGTTATAAATCGGGATGCCAAGCCACAGAAGAGCTTTTAAGATGGAGCTTCTGAGGCATCATGGTAAATGCAGATGAGCCTCAGCCATTTTGGCACAGTCTGCTTCAGTCCACTCACAGTTCTGGAGTGAAGGAAACCGGGTACTCCTTCATATGTATCATGGTTTAAAGGATTACAATGTCATGGATATAGAGATTATTCAATTCTTTTTTGTTCAGGGTTCACCTTCTTCAGGAGGCAGCCAGTATGGAGGACAGGTGAGAATCTCTTCTTCTTCCACACCAAAACTGGGTACTTTTATATTGACTGAAAAAATATTTTGTGAAAAATGTTTTGTTTATCTGATAACAGATAGGTATCTAAATATATATGATCTGAAGCAATACAAAAATTATGGAAATCTGCTGCTTCTGTTGTATTAAATGCAGTTCTGGCCTTGTTCTACCCTCCAACCTGGCGTGTTGCTGTCAAGGTTTCTTAGCTCTAACAATAAGGAAGGAGATTCATCCCTCCTCTACCTCATTTCCTTCAGAAAAATGCAGTATGAGAGTTGATATCTGAAAAGCAATATGGTTTAAAATAGGAAGAGGGGAGAAGGTGAGGAGTTACTGGCTCCTCATGCCCCTGTGAAATGAAAGATGACAAAGTTCCTGGTGCTGCCTGCAGGTATAGCCTCTAATATGGAGTGACACAGAAAGCAATAGGCTGAGTATTTACCTTCCTGTCATTGTGCAATAGAGGAAAAACATAGTGTTTCTTTTAAAAGCTCTTAACCTTTTGATTTGAGAAATAATTGGCACCTTTGCTACAGGGCTCATCTTTCTCAAGTGGCAGACCTTATGGAGGACAGGTGAGAATTGTTTTTCTGTTTATGGGTGTTTTCTCCATTGTTTGCCTTTTTTTCTGGTTTTTTTGTTTGTTTGTTTATTTGTTTTTTGGTGGGTTTTTTGTTTGTTTGTTTGTTTTTTGGGTTTTTTTTGGTTTTGTGAAAATCAGAATATTTTTTAAAGGAGTGTCTTACAGCAAAACAGTGTTTAGACAGAATAAATGAATATCTGATTCTGCTGTGCCAGGCCATATAAGCAAAGTATGGAAGGCTGCTGTGAGCACACAGTCCGGGGCAGCAGCACTACTCACACCTGCCTGAAGCTGACTTTGATTCAAACTGCATTGTTCTGCTTAAACAGCAGCCCCTGTAAAGGCTTTCAGTGGATTTCAGTATGGTCATAAAGTAAATGTTCATGTCTCTGTGGCTCTTAAATCCAAGGAAGACATAAATGTGTTTTTCTGTGACAGGTCATGAGCTAAAGAATGTGCAACAAATCCAAATGCTTTTTCATTTCTTTAGGGTATAGCTTCTTCGGGAAGCAGCCAGTATAGTGGACAGGTAAAACTTCTGCTTTCATGGTACTTGCAGTTTGGGTGCACAGCTCATCAGGAAAACAGATGGGTATTTTTTGCAAAAAAGGAGCATTCTGAGATAGAATAGCATCAAGCCATACTGAAGCAGTCTGAGTCTGTCTATATCAGATAATGTTAAGAGCAAATGATACAGGAAGCAGTGACACTGCACAGAAATGTTTCTTCAACATATCACGGTTTAAGAAGATAATTTTTGTGTTATGTTTAAGTGGAAGCAATTTGAAATTCTGAGAACCACAAAGAACAAGTGAGACTGTTACTCAGTAACACAGAAGTAATTAAGTTACTCATTTCTTCCAGGGCTTTTCTTCAGGGGTCAGACAGTCTGGAGGACAGGTATGTTGTCTCTCTCTGCACTGTTCAGTACTGCTAGTGTCATATACTCACAAATTGCTTTGTGTAACTTTCATTCACAAAAACTGTTTCCAGTTACACATTTTATCCAGATTGAATGTGGAAAATGAGGCAATGAATAGTAAACACCTGGCCACCTCCAAATTTTATCAGAGTAGAAGTTACCTAATTGGCCTCCACTGGAAGTCATCTAAAGAGCACTTACCCTTTTGTGAGTAGGTTTTACTATAGATTTTAAATGAGAAGTTAGAAGATTCTATTTTAAAATTTGATCAGTAAGTGCGCAGCTAGCTTAAAAGGGCAGAGGAGAGATAAAGAAACTGCTTTTTTCAATGGAGCTTGATATGTTGATGAACAGTGTTTTATAGTCCATTTTCTTAGAGTAGCAGAATATGAGTTTGATTTACTAATTCAGAGGCCTATTCCCATCACAGACCCAGGAAAGTAAGTTTGGTTGTGTTTTGTACAGGGTGGGTGTGTGTGCCCCGGTGGAGGTTCAGTAAGTATTTTTTGTCTTTATATATTTTTCATAGTATGTACATGTACTGGAAAATTCCCAAGGAACTACACTTCTTGAAATAATTCTGTCTGTGAAGTTCTATGTATGATGAAAGCTTTTTTCCACATTATGTTAAAATGATCAATTTTGAACCTGCTAAATGCAAAAATATTAAGCGACTTGCAACCATAGTATTGTATTCAAAATACAAACTACTCAGTTTGTAAGAGAGGCCTGGGACTTTTCTAAGAATCTGTGTCACAAATATCTCATTGTGTACCTGTTGGGTTTTGGACTTTGCTCTTATGATAGTTATTAACAGTGTGATTGAACTAGTGAAATTTAGATTAACATTTTGACTCCAAATTCTTTCAGAATGGGGCAGAGAAACACATTTGAAAAAGTTAAAGCTATTTCCATTTTTCTGTCTAATTAGTGTACTTCCTATTTCTCTGTAAACTTCTAAAAAAAAAAAAAAGCCAAAAACCCCCCAAATACACATTCAGTACAGTCAAAAATTGCTTGGATCACTACTTCTCTTTATTGGTCTGTGTAATCAAGCAAAATGACGTCTGAGTATATAACCCATGGTATATATGCCAATTTTGAGAATCAAAAGTGTTGAAAACAACATATAAATTACAATTTATATAAACAGAAATTACATAATAATAATAATAGTCAATTATATACACATTATATATATACACATATATATTCCTTGACATATAAATCAAGATGAATCAGAATAACAGTAAGCGGTGTAAATGACTTGATCACTGCAGTAGGTCACTGTGTTCTCTTGGATTTCCTCTGTGTGACACTGAGGTTAGGACAGAGTAAACATTGCTGTTTCTGTTGAATGCAGGGCTCTTTCGCAGGAACCAACTACCACGGTGGACAGGTAGGCAGTTTGTCTCTCACATTTACATAGATTAGTTCCTCAGGAATAAACATGGCTCAGTTGTCATATGTGCCAGCAGCCATTAAATATTGAGCTCAATTTAGTCACAGAGATAGGTACAATAATTTCAGAGTGCAAAACGGGGCTTTTACTCAATCACTCTTGACATTTCAGTTATATCCTTCTATATACAAGAGCCAAGGTTTTACTTTGTAGTTATAGAAGCTTTCTTACCTTGAAAAATTACTGAAGAATCATTCACAGGGTTCATCTCACTGCATAAACCAACAATGTGAAGTATGCACAATTAGCCATCTGCCACTGCATTAGTAACTGTGTAAAATTCTTCCAGTTAGTTAGTGTCATGAGTATTGTTTATATTATATTAAGTCCAGGATCTTTTTTTGCCATTTAAAAACTTGTTGCTATTTAAAAAAAAAAAAAAAAAGGTTATTAAAAATTTGCATTCTTTTTATAGGGTTCATATCCTGGAAGTAATCAGTATGGTGGACAGGCAAGCAAATTTTCTTTGTTTTCAAGATCTTACTTCTATTTGCAATTTATCAGCTGAAAAAATATCATGCAGTACATATACTGACAGTTTTTAGGGTCATTGTACTCCTAATAAATATTTGAAAACAGGTACTGTCAGTAGCTGGAGTCTACTCAAAATGGAGTAGCATGAACAAATTTCCATGCAAAGAAATTCCATAGATCATTATTTTAGTTGTTTTACCTCAGAATGCCTCTTATCTCAAGTGATTATTTTAATATTTACATTAAATACTTGGAAAATTAGGTACAGAATAAACCAATAGATACTGCTTTAAAAATATAAATTCGTGTGTTACACACAGTAACACTACTTTAACCTCTTCAGGTCACCTCAAGACTCTTCCTGTTAAGCATGTACCTTTATGCAGACTGCTTGCCACTGATTCAGAAATGTTACTAGTGCAAATAGCTGACAGATGAAATGCATGACTAACTCAAAAGATGGAGCTTATTTTTCATTAGTATTACTGTGTTTGCAGTGTCTCACTGTACCATACTAAAAAAATTAATTGCTTTTTACTCCACTGGCAAGCATTGGTGTTCAGTATCACTATTAAAAAGATAATCTCACCTAGAATGGAGAGGATTCTTAACAGCTGCAAATATTTTTTTCCCCCCAAACTACCTATTTGGTAATATTAACAGTGTCTTTACAATAATACACAAGGTGCTCTCTAAACATGTCTGACATAGTAGAAAATCACAAATAGAGTAAATTGGGTTTTTTTCTCTTGATTGGAGCCATATCTAAGACACTTTTGATCCATTTATTTATGGAACAGAACAGTCTCAGCAGGTGTTTTGTGACCACCCAATTTACTACTTTCAGCTGTTGAAGAACTTCAAGGCATTAGATCAGAAGTCTTTTACTGCATCTTTTTAGATTAATATACTTTCCAGATTATGACTGAGATCTCCTGTAAAAAGTCCAGTGATGTTTCATTTTGCACAGAATAACAAAAAGTAACCACTGTTCATTTTCTGTGATTTTTTTAATAGGGATCTTATCCTTCAGGAGGCAGCCAATATGGTGGGCAGGTTAGTATTCTCTTTCCATCCCATCACTTCAAACTCTTTCCTAACATAGTCTCTAAATCAGGTCAGTTACTTGATGCTGACAGACACATTAATTTGGCCATTTTATTAAGTTTAAACAGGATTGAAATAATTTCAATAAGGTGAATAAAAGATTTGGTTACAATGAGTTACTGCTCTGAGTATAAAATATTCCTTTGAACACACTATAGTTGCCAGGCTGTTTTTCATAACACTGCTTTCTTGATTCAAATTGCCATTGCTGTGGTGTGTAGTACAAAGTGTAAATTTTAAGCATCCCATTTACCTTTTTTTGTTCAAAGAACACCCAAATAAGCTTGTCTTATGTACTGCAGAAATTGTCTCAAGACAGTGGTAGAAGATTTTACATTCAATTAATACAAGTTTGATTTACTTTTTACAGGGCTCATATCCTTCTGGAGGCAGACAACATGGTAAACCAGTAAGTACAAAACATTCAAATTTACCTTTCTCTTTTCTTATACACCTGCTTAAAAAAATGATAGCAAGTTAGTTATAGACTAGACAGGGAATCACTTTAACATGCAAAGAGTGGCACCTGATTTACTTATCTGGGATATTCTCAACAAATTCAAAGATGATATTTATTTTCACACAGTTTTGAGACAGTTTACTGTGTAGTTGAACCAGTAATCACAGAATAAGTCCACTGGATTTTTGTGTGTGTGTATGTAAGGAACTTCTGAACAGCTATTTATGTTTAAATTAATAATAATAATACACTTTGTGCTCAGAGCTCAGTTTCTCATTGATTTTGTATGCATTTTTCTTAAGCATTTCTGTCTTGCTTTGAAGAAAACACTTTTCCTTTTTGAAGGAAATAATAGTTGCCATTTAACTATGCATATTTTCAACTTCTACCATTTCAGACTACTCTTTTTACTATGTAATTTGGACCTCACTCTTGCCATTCAATGGCAGTTGATACAAATGTTTTAGCTTATCTCTTATAGAAAAGATGTACTTGTAATTAAAAAGTGATCATAAAGGTTACATTTTCTAATACATGAATCCTAAAGGTAGGACATTTTATGTATGTATTTGATGGCATTTCTTAAAAACTTAATGGTTGTAACATTTCCTGTTGGCAATGCCATTCAAATAAGCAGAGTCTCTTCACCAGAAAACTGAATAAGATGCTTTAGGAACATCTAATTTTTATGTACCTACTTTTATTTTCAACTACCTTTGTTCTTAGAGTTTCCTTTAAGTAGGGGCTATAGAGTGAAGGCCTCTTATAATTTGCCTTATTTTGTTGGTGCTGTCTTTTTTTTTCCCCAAATGTAACTATATACTGATACCAGGAGAATTATGGTTTAATTGGACCTTATTATTTTTTCTATTCCATATATTAAACAGAACCATAAACCAGTTCTTTTTTTCTTGAGAATTTTGTATTAAGTTGTCCAATACAACATTTAAAAGAACACACATAACAGAAAATGTTAAATATATGTATTTCAGATAAAGTTTTGCCTGGGATTTTTAGATGATGATACAAAACAGTGTTCATTCTTCTGTGGTCTTTAATTACAGAGAGCAAGACTATTTAAGCACAAATAGACATAGAGTCAAAAACAGGTATCTTTTTTCAGGGTTCCTCTTCCTCAGGAGGCAGTCATCAAGGAAAGCCAGTAAGGATATTCTTCTTTCAGTATTCTGCAACCAAATTAGAAATGGGGATCTTGGGGTTTAAGATAGGTAACAACAATGAGGGTGAAATTTTAAATTGTGTTACAATGGTAAAGGTATGAGAAAAATTACCAATAAGAATTGGAATATTTTGTTGAAACTTAGGATGAGGCAGCATTTATTCCTCCCATAGCAAAGTTTTTATATACTCTGTTACTGACTCATAGGAACATGCTTGGGCCATTCTAATAAGAATGATGCATTTAAATATCAGTGTAATTGTTTCAGTTTCCAAATCTGTAGTTCAGACAAGACACATTGCTTTGACCCATTCCTCTGAAACTCTTCCTGCAATAAAAAGGACATAGCTGTGCTTATTTGAGGCTATTCAATTAAAATAGGGGGGAAAGTGCAGTGAAAAATGGCAAAACTAAAATCACTATCAGACCCAATATTAATCCAGGGCATTTTCAAGATTGCTGTGTGCTCTTTGGACACTGTTCACTGCAGCCTTGTATGACAAAATTAAACGGTTCGTAATTATTTCACAGGGTGGCTCTGGCTCAGGAAGCACTTACTCTGGGAAACCGGTAAGAATACTTTCACCACAGCACTTAAATCTTCTTTTCTCAGTAAACAAAAAACCTGGGTGATGGGTAGAGAAATTTTGGGATGACTTGGTCTGAAGAGAACATTGTGTATTAATACTATTTCAACCTTCCTCTTGAACAACTTAAACCCATGCTGTGGGTAAAGCTATTAAAATCTTGTTGATCACAGGAAAAAACTGTTCAAAACCGTTGGCTGGGAACACCTCTATAAATGTATTTGTTTGTTTATTTTCAGCAATCACCTTACTCGGGCGGCAGTCAAGTGGTAAGAATTTTTCCTCTGTAGTTTCTACTGGTTTCTTTCTATAAATGTCAGAAAACTGAAAGCTGCCAAATTTCCTACATCTGAATGAATGTTTGAGAACACATGTGCAACATAATAAATGAAATAGTCTTAAACAAAAATGAAAAGTGGGACCACATAGGTGCTTTATACTTTTGACCCTGACTGTCACTGAAAAATATGTGTTGATATAAATGTGGCACATGATCTTTTGACATCAGAAAAGTCTATGTAATAGACGTGGCTAATAGAAAAAGATTTCTCTGAAAATTTCTATGCTTTTATAATAGCAATAAAGAGAACTATTTAGGAATGGGTTTATCAAATTTTTCTCTCTTTTTTTTTTTTTAATATAGAGCTCTGCTGGGAAACAGTCTACTCCCCAACTCCTGATGTTATTCAGTGTTTTGAGTGCCTTTGCTCTCTCTGCTGCTGTATCAAAATGGTCTATATGAACTTCTGAAGTGTTACTTGACATCCTAAACACGGATTATAATCTGTATTATTAGATTACTTAATGTAAGAAAAAAGTACCATTAAGTCAAATTGGCAGATGCTACTTGGCTGTTATATTGCATGTCTAGCTGGTATGTCATGCCCCTCATTAGTTTACCTCTGGTTTTAGTCATTAGTAGTTATCATTAGTTGTGTCAGTGTTTTAGGCATCATTTTAAGAGAGCATATGGTACCCTACCTATAGGACATATTTTTATTTCCAATAGGGAATGCGATGAACACCTACCTGAAATGATTGGTGTGACAAATGAATACTTAGGGAAATATTTGGTTATTAACCAAAGTGGACAAGGTGAAATAAACTGTTGTATATGCAAACTGAGCACTGTGCCTGGTAATCATGGCATAAGGTAAGGCTGATGTGAACTTCTGATAAGCAGTCTCCATGGGACAGAAGAAAAGATGCTGAAGTACTATCAGAGTATTGGTTTTAGTCTTTTGTAATCAAATGCAAATTCAATATGGAGATTGCAAAAAAAAAAAAAACCACCAAAAAACAAAAACCCACCCCCCACCAAAAAACCCCAACAAAACAAAACAAAAAAAACCAAAAAAAACAAACAAACAAAAAAAAAACAACACCACAGACTGAATTTTTGGGGTTATTTAAAGTTTATTCATTAGGAAAATTCAACAGATCAGAGCAAAGACATTATGAACTCCATTCAAACCAACTGCAAATACCTAGAGTTCTGTAGAGAAGCATAGGAGCCACATATACCCCGGATTAGGCTGATAAACTACAACCTGCTGAAAAAGAAAGCCTTTTTCCTTGGAAGGAATAGAAAAATAATTAAATTCATAAAACTAATACCATCTTGGCTCCTTTTTTCAAGTGCTTAGTTTAACCTGTGATACCTCGTGTGTCTGAAAGGTTAATGTCGTGAGTGCATCTACAAGCAGGTACATCAGTGTGCTCGCTGAAACACCAGGGCCCGTTTTTGAGTTCAGGAGCTGTTCCACACCTTGCAGCAAACTCTTCTGGAGCTCTCAGAGCCACCTTCTGTTTGGTGTTAAGAAAGCGCATTCACCTAAAGCATACTTCTAATGAATGTGTTATCGAACATGTGCCTGCTATTAAAATTACCATTATTAGTAGCGCGCTTTTCTGTCACGGTTTACAATTGTAATTGCTGGGAGAGGTTTCCATTCAAGTTCTACCAACTTCCGCGGGGCCAGGATTTCACCCGGTTTTGATGTGCAGCACCACCCTTTGCCAACCATCGGTAAATCAACGTGCAATTGAAGCACAAAGTTATGCCTATATACGATCTTCAAAATTCGGTGGATAATTTGTTTCTTCGGACAACACAGGAATGTCCTGTTTGAGAGGTCCGTACCTTAATTCTAACCATCCCTACCATTCTCTAATAAATTTGTGATGGGTTTCATACAAAACGCTGGTGTCGGTGGCTCACGGTTTGGGCGGGTCACGGCCCGTGCCGCTCCCCGCGCCGCAGGGGCTGCCGGCTCGGGCGCCGCCCGTGCCCCGCGCCGCTGCCCCTCACCGGCCGGGCCCTGCCCGGGCCCCGCGCCCGCTCCCGGCTCTCGCTGCAGCCGCGGCCCTGGGAACGGAGCGGGCGGGGCTCGGCTGCAGCCGGAGCCTTTGCGGGACGGGACCGCGGCTCCCGGAAGCACCGGGAGCCGGAGCGAGCCGAGCGGGGCCGGCGGTGAGCGGCGAGCGGGGCCGCCGGGCGGGCGCGCAGGTGGGAGCGGAGCCCGGCCGGGGCTGTGCGTGAGGGGCGAGCCTGAGGGAGGCCTGGGGGAGACGTTTGGGGGCAGGGGATGGGGCGGGAAGCAGGGCTGTGGGAGCAAGCTGGGGAGGGAAGGGGTGGGATTGAAGAGACACCGAGAGAAATGTCTGCAAATGGAGCGGCTTGGGCAAGAGGGAAGGAGGGTGAAGTTGCTGTGGGGAGGCGGCTGTGTGCGAAGTTGGGAAGGGGCACGAGTCTGCCCAGAGCCCTGTCAGTGCTGCTGAGGTTGTGACTCCCGTGCTGGTGCTCTGCTGAGGAGATCCTCACTGTGCGTGATGTGGTGCTGCATGTGAAGTTCACAGAAATGCACATTTGACAAGTATTTGCGTGGTTATCATAATTCTATACCAAGTTATTGAAATGAGAAACGCTCTAGTGGTACAGTACTTACGGATTAAGCAGAAACTCAGAGGATAGAGATAACAAATGTAATAATGCATATTATAGAATAAACTGAAAGATAAAAGATGAATATCAGGAGGAACCTGAAGTTGTTTCATTTTATTAAATCCTATAAACTATGTTTTAAACCAGAGGGGGGAAGACTTGGATTCCAGATAAAATATTTTAAGGTAGTGATTGAGTGAAGAAGACTGACACAGATTTGAGCAAAAAAGGGGAGTGTTACTTGGGACATAAAGAAGGGATGCAACAAACCTTTCTAAAGCTGACTGAGAGCCACCTGAGTGGGAAGTTTTATTTTTCATGGTGGTCTCTGCATAGGAGGATTGGGATCTAAGACAGCCTTTGCTTTTTAAAGACCATATGTGCAGAATGAAAAGGTGGGTCTTAGAATTAACATTAGGTGATGGGCTGCTTTTCTCAAAATCTGTGGGGTTGCCTCTCTCCATAGGCACTGCACTTGACTTACCAGCGTGCTCACAAGCTGAGTTGAGCTACAGGCTGCAGGGTGAGTTTGAGGGAGGTGACACTTGTGGAGAAAGTGATTTACAATAATCTCTGCCTTTGGAAACTGTAGTTCCCTTGTACATTGTTAAGCATTGTGAGAAGAACTTGTGATTGAAAATCGCAGTTCTGGACAATAAGTATCCATTGGTTTGGGATGCAGGATGTTCTGGTTGGTAGAAGTAGTATGTGTAGCAAAAATACTGGTTTGGGGAAAGACTGGTTCTAGTAAGTATGAATTTGCTTTCTTTAGAGCAATGTATTGTTAGGAGTAACTCTGCCTCCAACAATCCTGCAGGCTGCCTACGCAGCCTCATTCCTTATTCAGGTGATGCTGTTGTTTGCAACAGTGAGAAAAAGGCGGGGATCATCTGTGCCAAGTACCTGTGGAATTCAAGTCACATGTCCCCTTAACCAGTTCTGGATTTGGCAGTGTTGAGGGAGCACAACACATACTTATCTTTGGGACGGGCTAGCTAGACACAGTTATTCCTCCCATACTGTTCTGGAATTGTTTACTTCCTGGGCTTATTCTTCACTGCTTACTTCAGTTCCCACCGTATTCAAGCTGCTTGTGCAGGCTACGTGCCTGTGCTGCACAGCTGGATCACATCAGTGTAGGATGTCTCTAGAGGGGAGGAGAGATTCTTAACATCTGTACTTCTCAGGATCTAGCATGATGGTTCTGAGTTAGGAGCTCAGGATTTTGCCACTGGGTTTCTGAACTTTGTCTTACATTTATATCTCTTCAGTGCAGTTCAATTGTCTCATTTTGTTTGTAATTACTAGCATGCTGCAGTGCCTACAGATTGATTTTCCCTGGAGGATCTAGTTTGTGTTATTCTACTCCAAGTAGGTCACCTTGACTGAGGTGTTTGACACACTGTGTTGCCTTGAGCACCCAGACTTGATTTGTAATTCATAAATAGCATAAGTGTAAGCTGCAGCTGAACCCCAGCTGGATTCAGTGTTCAGCCTTTCAGCACCTTAAATCAAGCTCCTTCATTGGCTTATACATCTGCAGGAACTGCATTCCAGCAGTCCTTTGGTTCGTGGCGTTGCACTCCTGTGTGCTTGAGGAGGGGCGGGCATTTGAACTGAAACTGAGAACTGAATGGCTCCTTGCTTGCAGAGGCTGAGTGTGGCTGCTGGGATCTATCTGTGCTGTGATCTATATAATGAGCACAGTGTATGTTCTGTGTGAAAATGAGATGCAGTTCAGGCAGCTTGTATCAAATTTCTGTGCTGGCAGGCAGAGTTTGGCTTAATGACTGTTAAGTCAATATAAAACTATTGCACTACTGGGCAGAGTTGGAGTCTTCATCTTACAAAAAATGCTGGTGTTAACATTTAGCTCAATGAGGGCCTGAATTTCCAGAACACAGAATATTTGTACTCAATATGTGATTTGTATAATATTTATCAACCCAAATTTTCATCAGTCAAAAAAATGCAATCTCTGTATTCTTAGGTTTGGTGTAAAGGATAAGGGTGGTAGGCTTAAAGAGCACTTAACCACAGATACCACATTTTAAGATTCACAATGTTTTACTCTTCCTGCCCGATACATATTAGAATGCTGGGGTTTTTTTCCCCCACAAAAGAAAGAAACAAACTGAAAACCTTTGGGAGCTCATAAAACAGCTCACCCACGTTCCCTTTCTGCTCAGTTCTCTGTCATGTAAGAAAACCCTGCCTGAGTCCCAAGGAATTTATAGCATTCTCTGAAACGAGACTTTAGTTAATAGTTAATATGGAATTGCATTCCCTTTGTTAAACTTGGCAGTGTTGGAATTTCCTGGTTGA